GGGTGGAGGGAAAACCTCAAGATTCTTTGGAAAACCATGTTATCACTTTTTAATATAACTGCTGTTTTCATGAATTACATGCTATTTATTGAGGAATTGTGAAGAGTATAAAATTTTAGTTATCATTTCCCTTTACTGGAATTACTATCTCCTTTAGGCAAATATCAATTAAAAACACAGGAAAGGATGAGTAAGGCACAGGGAGTAACAAGAGCTAATGTGGAATCAAAGACACAGTGTTGAGAGTGGCATTGAGTTAGTTCTGGTCATTCCAGCTGTATGTTATACATAGGGCCAACATGACACCATGTCAGGGCAGATTTGTGCCAGCTTGCTTCTGTTTAGGGTCCTTGGGGCTTCCAACTGTCCAATCTTCTGTGGCTGAAGCAGGTTTTGCTATTTGTCCTCTGGCAATACCTGGAGGAAAAAACCTCAGGGAGTGATTATAGCCTTAGAGACATTTATCTATAGTACATTCTTACTGAGGTATATTCATGTATGAATTCAATGGGAAAACCATTGAAAATAACACTGAAAAAATGCTGCATAAATGGTAGTCATTATTGTTTATCATTTACATCTGTAATATAGAACACACAGATTACTTTGAGTCTGTTTACTGATCATTATTTAAAACATTTCCATAAACAGAAGAGGCAGTAGGAGTAAAAGGTGGTTAATTATCCAGCCATGTGTTGATCTGAGGCCAAAGGTAGGAATGAGCCTCTGCTTTAAACTAGTTTAAAATTGAGTTTAGTCCAGTTTTTTCCTCCTGCCCAAATATTTCTATGAGTTGTTACTGGCAAAGTAATACAGTGCCAGGGTGGGAGGATCTGTGTAAACATTAAAGTGAGGAGAACAGAAAATCCCTTTTGTCAGCTTTTTAAGAACTAGATGTGGACTGTCAGAGAACTGGAGGAACCCTGATTTACCTGACCTGCTCTTGGGTGTGGGGCTATGCCCACATGCTGCCTGGTGGACTCAGGGACTGAGCTATCTGGAGTGAGCACCATTTTCACTTCCCTGGGGATCAGTCCTAGGAACCTCCTTGGAGAGGAGCCTACCTCATAGGTTCTGAGGTGTGCCAAGTTGCATAGTTTCTGTCTTATAATTCCCCTCAATATCTACAGCTGTCCCTAGGGTCCAAGATGCTATTGCTCTGTAAGGAAAGGTACAAATCCAGATATCTTAAAGTTCGTAAGTGTAAACAAAGGAAATGTTCCTTAACCTTGAGTAGCCTTAAGTATTATAATAAGTACAATAGCAGCAGTTACAGGTTTATGTCTGATGAATAAATTATTGTCATGCATTGAATAATAGGGTCAGCTGAATTATAAAAATCAAACACTACTTATCAGAAGCCAACCCAGATGCACCAGTGGAGAAGAAGCACTTGTAGGGGTTGGTTCCCCTTCCCCACCGTACTTACTGATAAGTTTGGCCTTACTGTGTAAAAGCTGTATTTAAGTAGCACCCACTACCCCGAGTGTTTTTATACATTATCTCATGTCATCTTATGTGAGCGTAAAAGAATATTCACGCTACAGAAGTAGCCAAAGTTATTTCTCACTGATTCTGTTAAAAAGCAAGTTGCGGCAGGGTGAGGACCAGTAAACCTGACAACAACCTAAACCACTGCATGCACGTCTTTATCATCGTAATAATGTTATCACCCATGGCAGTTTTGATGTTCAAAGCACTTGTGAGGCTTGGCACAAAGATTATAATTACTTTTCTGAAGATCATTAAGAATACTATATAGTAAATAATTACTGAGTTTCAAAATGTATTTGATGTAATTATCCTGCTATGAAAAGAAGCACAACTGATTATTGAGTCTGATTCTTTGACTTATGGATCAGATTATGAGCTTTTGTTAGCATCTTAAAGGAGAGCCTACATAGGTTTATTTACTGCAAATAACTCCTCCCCTGTCCTACCCATCTGAGTGAAGTAGTTCAAATTAACCTAAGTCTGTGCCACTCTTCGATATCCACAAGGCTAAATGAATTTACACCAGCATTCTTTGTGGTCTTCGTCACTGTGCCCATGAATCTCTCTGACACTTTCTGGAGGGCTCTTAGAGACTTAGGATACATGAATTAGACATGCAAGGGAAGGGTCATATATGTTGTTTGCTACAGTTACTCTGGGAGAGGCCAATACATATATGAATGATTTTTCTCTGCACTTGTAGGATTTTTTTTTTTACAAGAGACAGATTTAAGAACTATAATCTTTTGAAAGATTTTCCTTTCTATTTAAGCAAATAGTCTTGAATTTCTTCTTACAAAGTATTTAAATGTCAAAAAATTCCCCTTAAACAATTGCATAGGACTATTAAAGATATCTCCATTTTTATGACTCAATCACTAAACTATAATATTTCCGAAGGTCAGTAGAATAGGCATTAGTCTAATAAATAAAGTTACTAAAAAATTATTACTACCACAAAAATTTAGAAATTGGCAGTAGGAAAACCCCATTTGATTATTCAAGGTGTATTGGGAGGATTGTTTCATGTAATTTCAAACCCAGGAGTGTTTGATGCTGTTCATTTTTAAATGTCGCTTATAATAAGTTTCCATCAAGTCCCCTGAGTCAAGCTTTAAAACCAGTATCTTCAATAATGTGCTGCATATATGTGGACATTTATTTTAGCAGGGCCACTCTTAACTCATAGGAGGGATTGACGCTGTAAGAGAGATTAAAAGGAAAATTTCAGCAATTAATGCTAATAAACCAGAAAGTTAAAGCCACTATAATAAAACAGTAGAACATCTACTTTTTACTACAGAACCATTCCTTTATTAAGAGCCACCTGTTTGATAGACACACCTTTGCCACAAGCAGCCACGGGCGAGTGATTAAGTTTAATAGGAGCCACTCTTATTTTGAAGTAGTTCTCTGTTTAAAGCCACAGAGGGGGAAGATATTAAATTTAATGGACCCTAAACAAAGGCAAGCCCTTGTTACCAATTGAATGTTCAATATTCTTCTTTATTATGTTGACTGTGATTTGTTGGGTTATTTTTGCATTCTATAAGTTGAACTTCATTCTGCTTTCTCTAAAAATAGGCTATCTTCTGACATGAGCAGAGGATGTTTTTATCTTATTGCTTTGGGTTCAGGTTCAGGGCATACCTGGACCTCAGTTTACTATAACTTCTGAGTTACTAGTGCTGAGGACCCAAGAAATAATGTCCATTCCTACTAGATTCGTTGGGGATAGTTGGCCCAGCTCACAAAGCTGACTAAACTTGGTCGTATGACTAGTTACTGTTACTTGTAGCTAGACCAAGATACTGAATGAAATCTGCATACATGGTTTGACTCTAGTTTTATACATGGTTCTTGTCAGTTGTTTTTGTGAGGATTTATTTTTGATACGTGTACAACCACCCACACATGGAGAAAAGATTTAGTAATGAAAGGAATCATGCTTAGGCATGGATGGCAAAGACATGGTTATAAATTTTATTGAAAGATTTACTGCAGTCCCTTTCGTTTTTTAAAAGAAAACTTGGTAGCTTGAACTTCAAAACCTCACTTCACCAAAAGTATTAAAGTTAATTTTTTAGTGACACGGTGGCTTCTGTGGTTCACTGGAATCTGAGAAGAGAGTGGAGGCAATTTAACAGAGGAAAGCTGAGTTTTAGTTTCATTGTCACTAAAGGTGTTTTACGTATTCTCAGGTATGT